AATGCAGATTTAAACCAAATAATTATAATAAGGGAACATTATGCACTGAAAGACACCTGCTGCCTCAAAATGAGCTGTTTGCAAGTACTTTGTGCTGGAACCTGGGAATATTGTTCTCTGTTGATGGGATCATGATTTGCTTAGAGGCAGAAGCACCTTTAGTTGCTATCAAACACTTCCATGCATCACCCGAAGTGCACAATACCCAAAGCTTTGCAAGCCAAGAGCCGTGCAGAACCTTGCTGTGAGCATTTAATTACTTGCTGTATAAAATATCAGCTGTAATAAAAAGCCTGTATCTTAGAGCCTCCCAGAGCAAAAAAGCAGATCCATCGATATTTACTTCCATGCAACACTAGTCATGAGCTACTGAGCACTGGTTTATGGAGACTGAGTGCACGGAAGCTGCAGTCTTTTAGAAATGTAATCTCTCCAAAAACAATATGACAGGGGAATAAAATACCAGTAAAGGTTTCCAGAGCTGTGCATTACTCTTTTATTTTGTCCTCCAGAAAATATCACACGAGCAATACCGAACACATTGTGGAAATGTACTATTTGAGAGATTAGCTATATAGTATAAGTGGAAAAGATAGAGAACACGAGGGCATTGGTGGGTGAATATTGTGTACCTTCTTGAAAGGACCAACAGCATAGTATATACGCTACTCCAGGTGTTTGCAACCTTTGGCCCTCCAGATGTTGTTGACTACATTTCTCATAATGCTCCTACTGTCATAATGATCTGAAAGGGTCAGTCAGTGAAGGATCAAGATTCAACAGGGCCCTAGGCAAGTTATTGGTTTGGGACCCCCACTTCAATATTCGCAAAGTGTGGTGCATGGGAACAAGTAAATTAATGCTTTTGGGCCCCTGCCTAACCCCTGTGCCTTAGAAGGCCACCTAAGGTTGCTTCATCTTTAATCCTGCTCTGGTGTCAGGAGAGATGCAGACTACAAAATCAGGAGTGCCAAAGGTTGTCTGCTCTACTCTCTTGCATTCTGTAGATTAGTAGAAACCAGTGTCATTTACAGAATAACATTGATTGTTCATTGATTGTTCATTTTACTTAATATCTACATATCAAGATAAAAGAGATATGCAATTTACTGATCAGCCACAACATTTAAACCACTGACAGGTGAAGTGAATACCATTGATAATATAGTTACAATGGCTTCTGTCAAAGGGTGGGATATATTAGGCAGAAAATGAATTTTCTGAGTTGGAAACAGGAAAAATCTAACAAAATTATCCAAGTGACTTTTACAAGAGCCAAATAGTGATGGCTGGATGATTGGGTCAAAGCATCTCCAAAACAGCAAGTTGTGTGGGGTGTTTTCGGTATGAAGTGGTTAGTACTTACCAAAATAGTTGCATGGAAGGACAACTGTTGAACCTCCAGTGTAGCTGCAAACCTGTTAGATTGCCCACGATGACCCCTATGCACCTCCAATAGTGCCTTTAACAGGGACATGAGCATCAGAACTAGACCAATGAGCAATGGAAGAAGATTGCCTGGTTTGATGAAGCACGTTTTCTTTAAGATCAGGAGGAAGGCCAGTTGCGTCGTTAACCTGGGGAAGAGATGGCAGCTGGGTGCTCTATGGGAGGAAGGCAGGCCAGTGGAGGCAGTCTTATGTTCATGGGCAATGTTCTGCTGGGAAATCTTGGATTCTGGCATTCATGTGTATGATACTTTGACACATACCACCTACCTAGAGATTGTTGCAGACCACATTCACCCCTTCATGGCAATGGTGTTCTCTGATGACAGTGGCTTCTTTCAACAGGATAATGCACCTGCAAATATTGTTTAGGATCAGTTTGAGGAACATGACAAAGCATTCAAGGTGTTACCTTGGCTTCCACATTTCCCAGATTCCAATCCAGTTGAGAAGCTGTGGGATTTACTGGAACAACAAATCTATCCATGGTGGCCCCACCTTGCAACTTTAAGGACTTAAAAGGGTCTGCTGCTAATGTCTTGGTAGCAGATCAGATACCACTGGACATGTTCATATATTTTGTATAGTCCATGACTTGACACATCAAAGCTGTTTTGGCAGCACGGAGGGGACCTACATCATATTAGTTAGGTGGTTTTAATGTTATGGCTGATCAATTAAGTTATTTACAAAGCTCCAATGTGTTTTCAAGTAGTGGAATTCCTCTGAATATAGATCCAGAAAGTAAAAATCATAAATCATATCTAAATTTGACCCAGATTTGCAATTCATATATTTATTAAATTTAGTTAAGATGCAAATATTGCCCACAGTTAATTCATAAAAATGGGGCAAACTGAATTATACAAATAATCCATTCCAAATGCAGGAAATTTCTATGTTTATCATGAACTGAGTAGCATCTGACTTGCCCTTGAGTTTTTCAATCCATGATGTTACATTCCAGATGGATCTCTGGGTCCTTAATGTTGACTGATACATAAGCATTTTCCAACAAACCAACCGAAATCAGCAATCAATTCTGTTTGTTTTACTGAAAAGTCTACAACAATAAAAAAAATAAAAGATTTACTAGTAACCAGGTCTGTTTCTGTATTCATTCTAAATTGGAATCTGCCATATTCTTTCAGATTGTACATGGTCTTGACAGAAACAAGGTGCTTCTGATCAAATAGAACTTAAAGGTAAAAAGATAAACCATTAAAATATTTAATGTGATCTTTTATTTTCAGCCATATTAAATAATGACAGGATTCCATTAAAAGCACAATCTAAGACTCACATGCCAAACACACACTATTAGTTATAAAACATCAGTCATCCTTCTATTAATGCTTCTTTAGAATACCAATTTTAAGTGAAAAAATATAGGGATTTGGTGACACTATATGGTCATACTGTATTAAGTCCACCAGTACATCCAAGGATCACAATATCAATTGAATTCTTTACATTGTGATGGACTTAAAGGACCACTCTAGGCACCCAGACAACTTCAGCTTAATGAGGTGGTCTGGGTGCCAGGTCCCTCTAAGATTACCCTTTTTTTTATAAACATAGCAGTTTCAGAGAAACTGCTATGTTTATAAATGGGTTAATCCAGCCCTCAAATCCTCTAGTGGCTGTCTCATTGACAGCCGCTAGAGGCGCTTGCGTGATTCTCACTGTGAAAATCACAGTGAGAACACGCAAGCATCCATAGGAAAGCATTGTAAATTGCAAATGCTTTTCTATGAGACCGGCTGAATGCGCGCGCAGCTCCTGCCGCGCGTGCGCATTCAGCCGAAAGGGAGGAGAAGAGGCGGAGAGGAGGAGGAGAGCTCCCCGCCCAGCGCTGGAGAAAGGTATTAACCCCTTTCCCCTTTCCAGAGCCGGGCGGGAGGGGGACCCTGAGGGTGGGGGCACCCTCAGGGCACTATAGTGCCAGGAAAACGAGTATGTTTTCCTGGCACTATAGTGGTCCTTTAAAGGCAGGCACTATAATAATTACATATAATTGAATTGGTTTTAGTTCCTGCAGTACCCTGGCACTGTCCTTCCATTCAATGTTAAACCATTTTTTAGAAGTTTAGCTCTAAGAAAGGATCCCTGGCCACCCATAGTCCAGCTATAATAGGAGCTGATGCTAAGGCAGAGATTGCATACTTCCTTCCAGTCATACCAATTCATATTAACAATGGGCACACTGGTAGGCTTAAAGCCATCAGCTGACACTCTCAGCCAACCACAGCCACTATTGCTGAGCATTAAAACTATTTAATGCTGAATTGATAGATAGTGTCAGGCACTCCAGACACTATAACTACTTCAATGAGATAAACCAGTTACAATGCCTACCATGCATTGTGGCTATATGGGTGTACCAATTCCAATATTTTAAATAAAAGTAATCATGATCCAAGGCACCATCATCCTAAGTGCATAAACAAAAGATACAAAAAGTTACAAGGAAAAAATAATAATTAAACAGTATCGTACAGTCAAAGCTTCAGTTACCATGTGATTGAGGGCAGAAATCAGGTGCCTAGAAGACTTTCCTTGGTTCCCCCATGCAGATTCTATGCCAGTCATTGCACGGAGTTCGTTAACTGCAGAGTATGAAATAGAGCAACTAATCGCCAGCATCTTGCCGTTTGACGGTGTCATGGTAACTTGTCAGAGAAGGCTATACAATTATGGAACATTACATGATCAGCTAAATAATCTTGTCTGGATACAATGAGGAGTTAAAGAATGGGGACAGGTTTACCTGTGGTGCAGAGCCATGATACCCACAGCAGAACCAGAAACTGCTGCTGTTTTTTGCAAATGGGCTCAAATTTAGAAACTAATGCATTTAAATAAACAGATAGATAGACAGACAGACAGACATGAAACCAAACAGGTTGTACTTACCTGAACATGCGTGCATTAAATGGGTGCTACTGGGACCAATTCATACAACATACCACACCCAGCGCACACCCATTAATTAAACTATTTCAAAGCTCACAGAATGCAAGTTTTATTTTTTTTAAACGCAGGCTAATGTGAGCGTGGCACTTGCCACAAATACGCATCAGGTTCACCCATCAACTGATATCGGAGGAGCCTGACGCGGAATCAGGTAAGTGTTTAAAGGGTTATTTACCCTGTCATGGCTGATGGGGGGAGGTGGCGTGTGGAGTCAGAGGGACACTTCAGTGTTAGGAATATAGTTTTGTATTTCTAACATTATAGTGCTCCTTTAATATGTTGGTTTACAACGTGACCCAAGAAGAGATCTGACTGGAATTGGAAGCTACAAACTGTGCTTTTGCCTTCTTTTGGATCAATAGCAGAAACAGATGTAAGAAAACCTGAACTTTATGGATGCAGTCTTTTTTCAGCCCGTGTAACTATGTAACATAACTTACACCCACATTAGCCTACCTACATGCGCACACAAACACTATTCCTCAAACGCGCACACAAGTACACAGCCTAATACTTGCACACACAAACATTTATATATGCGCAAATTCACCTTCAAACGGCCTGACCGCCATGGAGAGCAGACGTGCTTTGGAGGAGCCCTCTATGACCCAGCAACTAAAAGCATGATTAAACCTAAAATAGCTCAAGACTGGGCAGACCAAGCGAAGCCCCTTGCCTCCAACTCACCGACTAAGCGGAGAAGCAGTCAAAGACCCGTTGGGAAACATGTAGCTCCACCTTGGCTGTTGCGGCCTGGTGCATGCCGGGCCGGGGTCGCGGCCGAACCCCTGGACCAGAGAAGCCAGAAGGATGCCAGTCACACGTCGGGGCCCCGCTGCTCCCCCCTTTTGGACCGGGCGGGTGATCCCGGTCCACCCCAGGAAGGTTACCCAGCTCACACAGAAGCGCGCTGGGCGACAGGGGAAAGTGGAACCTCACCAAACATGGCAGACGCGCCGTGGCCTCCACGAACCAGCGCTGACCAAGACGACATTCTCACCAGGCTAGACCAGCACTTCACAAATTTTTGGTGGCAATTGGAACGGCGGATGAGATGTCCTGCCCCTCCACCTGCGAATACTCACCGCATACCACGAAATTCCCCTCCCAAGCCCTCAGCTCCACCAGCGGATAAAGTACCAACATGGCGGCGGATCAAGTACCGTACTTCACCCAGACGCAAAGCGGCACCACGGAAGCCACACAGGGGAATATAAATAAGGTCACAGCCGCAGCCAGAGAATTGGAAAGGGACCCCAAAAGCGACTAAAGAATCGACCTACCTGCCCGCAATTAGGGGCGTTGCCATGCAGTGTGACTACTCGAAGTGGGACTGTGCTGTACCCCTGGCTGGTATAGGCTGACCGGGGCTCCGGGACTGAGCTGTGAGTAAGGCCTTTAGCCGCTCGCTATCACAACATGGCGGTGCTGGTGCTTATCATATGTATACACTGTCAAAAACCCCAGGATTATATACCAGGCTTAACTACCATACGCACACCTAATGGGGGGGCCTCCTGGGGGCATACGCTAGAACACATCTTACTGTTTATACTGTTTAAACCCTTACCTTAGGCCTAGCAACCTATCACTATCAAATGGGTAGACCATACACACCAATCCTCAGCCCATCCGCGATATACATTAACTCTTCCAAGCCATACGACCAATAATTTAGTCAGTTCAATTTCATGCTTATCAAAAATGATACACACAGCTAATGAGGCCGCTTACGCATAAATGTGTCTAAGACAGGATGTAACTTTTCATGCAACTATCATATCTTATGCCTTGTTCAGTTAAACCATTACGGCTAAATGTTGAATGACCTAAGGGCAGTAAATATTGAACCCTGTTTGTGCATAGAAACAAAAAAAAAAAAGAAAATGTGCGACTACGCACGCCACTGTTAAACTCTTTCATATGTTGATATGTGTTGAAACACGCTGTTGTGGCATTTGTGGAAACTTTGTACCTACCTGCACAACAAAATAAAGAATAATAAAAAATAAAAAAAACATACAAACATGCTCCCATACTCAATCACAAACCCCATATAAATTCACACAATGCATTCTTACGTGCTCGTGCAAGAAAACTAGCAGCCAAATAAAACGACCTTCACACGCCAAATGAAATAAGATTTGGATCACTATATTGGCCTGGCTGCAATAGAAAAAGAATCATGTAAATCACTGCATTTCCGCAGACAGCCTTTGTACAGAATTTCACAGACTCCTTAGAAGGCTGGATCTTCTTTATGTAGGAACACAAACTGGTGTTCTTGATATGGTCCACACTGTGCATATTTTATACATGTTGCATGTGAGATTCTCCAGGCATGCAAACATTATCACTAACAAAGGGCTGGGGATTGAAAGAGTCATAAATAGAATCACATGTGGAAGAATATCTGAGTTGAATATTCTACAAATGTTGCAGTCAAAGAATTTAATTAAAATGGAGCAACTGTGTGTGATTCAATACCTATTTATGTTAAACTATAGTTATAAGGAGGGATGCAGATCAGTTTGGTCTGAAGAGTGAGTGGGAGGGGAAAGGGGAAAAAAAGAAAGAGTAAATCATTGTCTTTCAAGGTAATCTTGCTGTTGTAATTGTAGTGTTGATTTTTTTAACTAACTGGCTATTGTAATCAAAATGTTTACTATGGTGGTTCTGTGACTTTGTTCCTTAATATTTAGACAATATAACAGAAAACAGCTTTGCTGTTTGTTTTATTTTTCATAAATAGAAGAAGATAGCAAAATCAGCTATTCAGATTCTGCATTTTCATTTTACTAATTGCACTTGGGAGGATATGAACATGGCTAATGCATAGACGTATTTATTTGTGCTTGGTTTCTTTTGCACCAGATCCTATGGCTGCATTACAAATCTCTTTCATATCCTCACTACACAGGCTCTAGAGATTCGTGTAAAGCACCTGCCGATAAATAAATAATATTCTTTATGCTCTTTGTGCATAGAGAAAGAGTATGTTCGTGACCTGAGAGTGGAATTAAGAGGAGGCAGGAGAAATTTTTGCAGGTGTCATCTCAGCATCACTGAAGAGTAAAGGGAACGAGGACAGAAGTGGCGTAGAAAATGTTAACACAGATATGTCTTTTACACCTATGCAGGGCATAGGATCCAGTGCCAGGGTAAGTTGGAGAGAGCTCTAGAAAAAATTATTTACCAGGTTTGAACAGACTCTAGAGTCACACTACAAAGAGGATGCCACAAAATGCTTTTGATCCAAACACTTACCATAACGTATGTAATATTCACTTTAAACACATAGGATTCAGAATATAGGCAGACTTCATGGTAGTTTGTAAGGGTGTGTTCTATTAAAGATTGGAGTACAGCGGGGGCTGGTAATTATGGGAGTTGTAGTTTACACTGTTGGGGTTGTGGTGCCAGGAGTGCACTGGTGAAACTCCTGGGGTAAGAGGTCAAACTGTTTGCAAATGGTTTTACAGCCTGCCTTGGGTCTGCTGTGCACAATTCACCTCTTTCAGGAGAGACAGAAGCACTGTGCTTAGAGCTAGTTTGGCAGTGTAGGGCTTAGCTCATTGGCTGAAAGCACTCAACTGGTTCTTGAAGTGGTCTTTTAACCATAATGTAACTATTAGTATTTACTGTATTTTTACACTTCATGCCCTGGGGGGGTAGAATGATGACATTATCCAAGACATGCCCTGGTTCGCATGTCCACCAACCGTACATGTGATAATGTGACCCATTCTTCTCAACAGATTAACAAAAAAAAATAATAATAATTTGACCCATTCTTCTCTGCAGCCATTTCATGGAGACCATACCGGTGGGCCATCGCAATCTCTGCTAATTGCAATCTCTTGAGGAGAAGAGACAATCCATATTTCTGTGATAGTCCTCAAGATACACTGGAATTTACAGATGAACTTGTGGGCATCAAAACATCTTGCTTCCCTTCCTCTACCTGAATGCTACTATACTAACCTATACCAACCTGACGCATTGGACGATGATGTGCACTGATATTACAGTAAGACGGCAGCAACAAAACTGATAAACCCACTGGGAGAATCAGATCCACAGTTCCTATAAATGTCTTGTTACCTTATGGTAATCATAACTGAAAATGTTATTTTCATTGTTATCATTAAATCATTGTTTGATGTTTCTTTCAGACCATAATATTGCACCTATCTTTATTATATCTCTATTGTATGTAAAATGTAAAAACTATATGGAATTATAAAATGAAGAATTTTGATTTAAAAAAAAAACACTCGATTCCTCCTCCTTGAGGTGTTTGTCCTTCACTTGGCTGGGGCTAAGCAGAGAAAGAGAGAAACAGTGCCTCCTCCCAACAGTGCAGACATTGGGTACCTCATCCCAAATATCAGGCTAATTGCTCTTCCCAATAGTTGCTGGAGAGAAGATGCACCATACACTGCCTGAATATTATCAACTGGATGAATAGGGAGAAAAACTGCTCTACTGTTATGAGTGAAGGCCACGCTGAAGACTTGTGTGGCATTCAGTGTTTAAATGTAGCTGTTATCACCAAGTCTTGTACTGGACAGGTGAGGCTGAAGATTGATCCTTCTACAAAATTCATAACCAACAGGAAGAGGTTAGCAGTATTTTATGTCCCAAATAGCTTTCCACCAAGATTGTGATAGATTAAAGTATCATGCAGCGTATAGCAAAAACAGCATGTTGTAACATTGTACAATATCAAGTATTAGGAGGTGAGAGGAATATACTGAATATGAGTTAGGTGGATGAGGATGTGAATCTATAGAGTGTACCATTAGTGAGAAAACAATCACTACTCTGTAAAAGACTAGTGGCCCAGTTGTGAGATAAATTAATGAAAATAACTCAGCTCAATAAAACTAAAAATCAGGTTGTAATATGTGTAGTGAAGATAGATTCCACACAATTATCAGAGGAGACATTGGGAAAAACAGATGGCTGTCAGACAGCCAATGAGGGTGATTCACACAACTTCTCACAGGATATAATCAGATTTTTGAGCAAACAACCATAAATCTGGTTATGCTTTGTTTACTATCCCTAGTAGCAATAGATAATAATACGGTAGGAGAGGAGGTATACTGCAGTGCTATAATTAAAGTGACATAAACAGACACATCTCAAAGGGGTACATTTTTATTGCAACAAAAACTGGTGGCTAATGCCCCAGTTGCAATATAAAATTGGAACTGGATAGTGTTCCGGTTGTCCCTAGGAACGTGCCTCCACTGGTCTTTATCCTCCTGTGAGAGAATGATGGTATGTGCATAGAGAGAGTCAGAGTGTAAAGCATGTCCATCAGCAAGTGAGTTAAGTTCCATGGTTAATTGTGGGACTAAAGTCGAACCAAATTTCTTACAGCTAAAGAGAGTAAACCCATTGTGTCCAAGGCCTTCTCTGGTTTCATAGATTGTATACAATAGCTGCATAAAGTTAATGGAAAATCCAGTGTCTGTGTTGCCTCTGCAGACAATGCAGATCTGAGTCATTATCTCGGAGATAGTGGTGAATATTCTCAAACTGTTCTACAACTGCACGTGTCCTTTCATGGTTCTATTTATATATATATATATATATATATATATATATATTTGTGGAATTCAGAGGAAATAGCATCTGGAATGTGGTTTGCCCAACCCGGGATTTGTCAAATGGGGTTAACCTGTACTGTCTTCCTTCTATCTCTAACAATCCACATCAGCAATCTCTTACATTTTTTGGCATTGCCATAGAACCAAACCCTGGAGCTTTTCAGTGTACAATGATACAAGAAGCATCCTGTACTCTCTCCTAGCCTCTAGCAACCCTTTATAAGTTACCTCTAATTGTGACCGCTTGAGTTGTGATTCCAAATCCCCTATCCTTTTAGTCAAGTCTAGAAAGTTAGGCTTGTCTTTTTCTTTTCGTATACATGCCAAGTTTAATTAAACTATTCTCATTTTACGTATTTATTTAAGGGAAGACATTTCAGGAGACTTGTTTTCAGTTAAATATTTTTGGAGAATCTGTGAGGTTTGGAGGATAATTTCCAGGTCATTCATCAGTGTTACATTAAGACTAGTCTCATCCACAAGATTGCGAGGAGGCTACAGTAATTTTAATGTGACTGTGGTTTGGCCACGTCATTAGCAGGATACTGACAGAGAGTAGATCATGTAAATGTTCTTG